AGCACAAAAATGCCGCAAATCAGAAACATGGTTGTTGACAACATCTTGGTTAAATGTCCAGCAACTACTAGTCTCGCGGCTATGCCATGTCACCCATCAGACTTTGTTTAGTTATATAGCTGCAAGGTAAAGAGGTGCAAATACAACGAGTTTGCAGCAATTGGCAAAAAACAACGCTGCGGCCATGTGAGTGCAATTGCCAAAAACCATCCATCCCACAAAAACCCAATGAAATCATTGAACTATTGCTGCATCTAATGCGACAATTATGCCAATGTTCGCCGCAATTACGCCAAATTACGCCACAATTACGCCAAATTACGCCGCAATTACGCCATATTATGCCGCAGCTACTCCAAAAGTCTTAGACACTTTCTTGCTTATATTTAACTGTATTTTTTTATTTTTTATTTTTTTGGGGCCTGAAATATTTTTTGTATTTTTTTGTTTGGCTAAGCTATTTGAGAATCTCGTTTGCTTCAACAATGGCTGATTTGGAATACCCTTTGCAACCCTAACTTGTGACATCTAAGACATGTACGGAACATGTTGTTTGTTTCCTTGGTCCTTTCCTTTGCAAATTTCATACATATTCGTACACTTTTTTTCACTTTCCATTGGCTCTTTCAATTTTTCTCGTTGAGGCAGCTGAAGAGGTATTTGAAATTAATGCTGGATTATTTTTATTTCTCGTTTGAAATTTGGGTCAGTAGCTGTCAAACACAGCAGCAGCATTGCTTCTTTTGCAATGGCAGATGGCTTCGATCCAAGTGGCATGTCTTGGGCTTGAAATGGGGCTCACAGTTCCGTATTTCGTGTCATCGCCCAGAGCTGGGAACTTGGTTGCGCACGCCATGGGGTGTTGACTGCAGGGTTCTAGCCAAAGCGGATTGACAAGCGTCTGACCAAACAATGAAATCACAAAGCCCATTCACATGCAAAAAAACATTCCACAAGCATGAAAGGACAAAGGCGGGCTCTGGAGCTTCAGGAGGGCGGTGGCTGTTTGGCTGCTTCGGCTCAGCATGTCCACGCAGCGAGGAGGGCTGTTTCGGCCCTTCAGACTCGGCTCCTGCTTACGAAGTGTTTTCAAATTTTGACCTGAAGTGAGGCTGCTTCGGCATTAGCGGTAGCTGTTTCAGCCAAGCCCTTGCAGCATCAGGCAAGCTGCTTCCGGCTGTCAAAGCTGCTTTGGCTTGTTTTGACGCTGTTCCGACTTCTCACTTTGAAGCTGCGTTGCATACTTAGTCAGTTTTTGTACATAGCAGGTCGCGATGGACTTTTCGCAAAAATAGGAATTGGCTGGGGTGGGTTGAAGCGTCAGGGTAAAGACTTTGGGTTTCTGGTCGAATCTACCAATGGGTTGAATCTAAGAGACGATTACCCACAAAGATTGGGAGATTCAGCGAAAGCTTTGATTTGGAGACAGTCTTGGCTACTTAATATGTGTTTCTTTGTCCTCTCCTTAGGAGCATCAAAAAAAAAACAACGGACCTCGAATCAACGGGTGGGAATGTCCTCTCCTTAGGAGCTTCGGGGTTGTCCTTGAACCTCCTAAGGGGAGGGTGACAAGGGGACGAAACTGGAATACTCTTAAGTATGAGTTTTTCAAAGGCCTTTGTCCCATTGCTGTCCTCTCCTTAGGAGCCTCGGGGACGTCCTTGAACCTCCTAAGGACAGGACGAATTGTCCTCTCCTTAGGAGCATGCCTGAGATCCGCTTCGCTTCAGGAGCCTCGGCTCAAGCACTTCACGGAAGCTTGTGGCTGAAAACTGGCCACACCATCTCTACGCCAAAGAGGCGGCAACTGTCTCGGCTACTGTAGCTGTAGCTGCTTCGGCCACTTAGCTGCTTCGGCTTTTGGTGGCTGCTTTGGCCACAAGTATGCCACCGCGGCATCGACCAATGTCAGATCAGCTGGAAAGGGCCGGAACTTAGCCACATAGACTGCGGCGGGGGGCTGTCTTCAAAGTCGGATGTGGGATGCAAAAAAATGACAAGTGGAAAAGTGGATAAACATGCGTTGCGGCAGCTGCAGACACCCTGTAAACTCAGTTCAGCAAACAGCAGTTGATTTATAACAGGCGCAACGAAGATTAAAAAAAGCTCACACATTTCAATTTCAAGGCGTTTCCTTCTGCAGCTGTTTCAGCCCAAGAAAGCTCACTCAGAATCAGCCAGCTGCGCACTCTGTAGTGCTAAGGACCCTTTAAATCAAGCAAGCTGAAAGAGATCTGCGCTTAGTCCAAATACGGATAGTTGGAACTTTGGGGCTCGAAAAGCGGTTTCAGAAGCACCGCAAGTTGAAATGCAGCAAGTGGGGATCTCGTGGGCCACCCATGTTGCATATTAAGAAAGAGGGGCCAAAGATGACTTTGCCAAAGCTGAAGTCGGCTTGGTATTCCAACCGTGGCTGTTTCAGCCAAGGTCTGTGTCGGATTTGTTGGATGGTGGCTGGTTCGGCCATCAACAGGCCTGTTTCAGTTTTTAACCCAATTGCTTCAATCAAAACGCAAAAAGATATTTGCAAAACTCGTCTGCTACCGGGGGAAAAAGCGTGGCCACGGCTCTTGAGATATTTTTCTCAAAGTTGGTGTTGAGCACTGTGTCGCACATCTTTGTCGCGACTAAGTTGCAGTCTTAAGTTTGCGTTGGTCTTTTACATTCTACTTCAAGGTTGTTTATTGTGAAGCCCCTCTTGTTATGTTGCGGCAAAGTTCAAGGAAGAAAGACGTGAAAGATATTTGTTATTATCGTTTGCACCTCTTCCTTTTTGTTGGATTTCTCGTTGACGGCCCCCCCAAAAAAATACAAAAATACAGCTAAATATGAGCAAGCTTTTGATTGACCTGACCGGGGATGTGCGAAAAAAACGTGGCTGTCCAAACTTGCAAAATAATCCCGGATTACAAGAACCACAATTTCGTTCGGACTTGTCTGAAATACTACCAGCTCGCATTGGGACCAAAAAAAGTCAAAGTTGCTGACTAAGTGAGAAACTGAAAAACATGGTGAAACCTAGTGCTCCAGCTCCTTGCATAGTCTTGTTTAGAAGCAAGAAAAAACGCCGCAGCAGAAACTCCAAAACATTCAAAAACGCCGCAAGTTTGGAAATTATGCTGCAGCACGGAAAAGGATACTGTTAGCAACAAGCGCCTCCAACGAGAATCTAGGTATAGCTAAGTTGGTTGAAATAACGCAGATTTTACTGTTGTGTGTATCGTAGACGTATCGAACGAATTAATGGTCCTAAAGAGGAACTACCATCTCTTGGGAACATCCATCTTGTATCGTTGACACTTTTTTTGCTTATTTGGTTAATATTTCTGAATATAATCTCCATAAAGGTGGCTGAGCAACTATTATTTTGTAGTAGTATTTAGTACCCATCCAGTCCAAATTGTTTATTCCAGCAGAGAATTTACCCTTGAAAGCAAAACAATAGCCATTCGATGGAACCACTTCCATCAATCAAAATCATTGAAAAAAGAGAGCGGGCAAATGAATCAATTGCTCTAATTGCTCGTCTAATTAAGGCTTCAACCTTGAAAATATGGATTCATAATCGCAGGTGGGGGATGGATATAATATTTAAAACCATCAACTCGATGACCCTCTGGCAATCAAACGTGGCAAATGCGGACGCATGGGGATGCGACGAAAAGGAGCCTTGAAAGACCGCACGCCATCACTCTCATAAATTGGCCCGAGAAAAGCATTGAAAAACCGCACGCCACGAAGCAGCAATATATCAGAATCAGCAACCTGAATCCAGGCAATGAAGTTGGAGCTTCCACATGATGTATATTTTTTTGACATAGCTGAGGCCAAAATCACCATCTAAGCTTCTCCGTGGCGGTTTTTGTTGACGCTGGGGCAAATTCCCCCATGGCATGGCAAGGCGTCAACGATTGGGCGCCAAGTTGCCCCTAAAACAGACCTGCAAAAATTCGCCAGGTTTGCTTTCAAATCTCTATGTTAACCTAAAAATGTTGCTGTCAAGATAATTTAAGATATATCCCTTGTTTGATATTGTTGGGCAAGATCTTTGAGGGGAAGTATACACTATTTAGAAAAATGATTAAATTCGCATCCTTCTCATTCGCTGTGAGCCATAAGGTTTATCAAAACAACATGGTCTTCATTCTTCATTGCTGTTTTTTTTTCGCACGTGATTTCCGTTGAAATAACATGAAATAACACCCTCCCTTGCGTTAGGGGTGCTGCTGGGCTCCCACCACTTTACAACTTGCTAAACACCGGTAAGACTGAAATTTGCGTGGCATCAGGATGCATTTTTTGTGCCTCTGTAAAAATGACATTTTTTGACATCGAACAATGAGGAG